CTGGAGAAAATAAGGCAAAGAGGGGATATGATTCAGGTCTTCAAGATACTAAAAGGATATGACAAGATTCAAGATAACTTTATTGAACTTCAGACATTGGCGCACAGACATAGGACTCGTGAACACAACCTGAAACTCAAGAAGGGGAGGTTTAAGAGCAAGAAAAGGTCAAGGTTCTTTTCGGCAAGAATAGTAAATGAATGGAATAAGCTCCCACAATGGGTGGTAAATAATAAATTGCAAGAGTATTGGATCCTTGAAAAACCAGTATGACTACTTCACGTCTGCTTAAAGGGACCCTCCCACCTAACATTAGATTTGAGTTGAGATAGCCAAAATGGGGTCCCTGGCTCACAATTACCGGTTTCGGCACTCACAACATCGAGCAATGCCTTAAATCGGAAATATTGAATTTCAAAATTGCAGCATTTTGATTCAGAGGGGCTAATGCATAGGAATACCCCTATGAATGTGTGACGTCAGCGCAGATCAGGGCTGGTAAAAAAGCAAATTGCGTCCCCGACCAAAAAATGAGAGCGAAAAATGACCCCGACCTTTTTACGATTCATGTATGCAGGCTGCATGCAACTACGATGCGCGTTTCCTTAGGTTTCATTTCTATATTTTCTTTTTTTTACGAGCAGTCATATGTACTAAATTGCTTATCAGACTCGCGCTTCGAAATTTCCAGTTTGTTAATTAAATGTCACGGCATCACTCGGTCAGCGGGTAGCGTAACAGACGAAGAACCCGGAAAGGGTAGGGGGCGCTACGATCGTCGAACAGATGCAATAGGTGTCGCTATTGTATCGGTAGCTCACAACGACGACGGCTAGAAACTATCGACCCCGCATGAATTTACCATGTCCAACCGGTCCGACCCCGGTTCCGAATCTAGTCGTTTGTCTAGTCGTATAGCTGGCTACAACTGGTCGTCAATCAACCCCGCTTGAAATAGCACAGCCGACAGCGGGGTCGGTGTCTAAGCGTCTGTTAGTATGTGTTTGATCATCTAGTTTGATCTAGTTTTCGTTAGCAACTGTCGACGGTAGTTTTGCTGTTAACGGAAGTGAGTTGTGGCTACTAATTGTTCATAACCATGTTGTAGGTATGTATTAGGTATAGGGGCTTTTTATGTCCTTGTTAAAGGGGATATACGTTGTGGATTCAATGATATCTTTTACTTGCGTTTAGTTTCTGCTTTATTTGAAAGTTATTTATTACTGTAAAAGTTTACTAAATGTGGTAATTTTGACCCCGGGTACTTGAACTTTTACTGGTACTGTGTCCCCGACGACGTCAATAGGACATAACACTTTACCAGCCCTGGGCTGCAGATATCTAACGATTTTTAAATGTTTGACTAAAACGTTTTGTAGCACGCGGTGGTATATGCTGCTTTGCGCGCAACAAGTGCCGCACTTTCAGCTGCCAAACTATTGCTTCCAAATAAAGTCGCTAGGAACAGCGGAGATCCCAAAAAGTAAACAAAAGTAAAAGTCTAATATCTTGAAAACCAGTGAATATTTTTCGGTGAAATTTGGTAGATATTCGTTTTCGCTCTTTCTGAACCGAGCGACATCACTTTCATGCCAATTCATAAACTTTTTTGAAGGTGGGAGGGTCCCTTTAAGATGAGAGGCAGCATCACGAGGTTTCCTGCTTCCTTGTCCTCTCCTTCTAACTTCTAGGTGAGAACTTCTAGGTAAGTGTATATATGACAGTACCTACCGTCTTCTATCTATATACCAAATTTTAGATCGATATCTCTTTTTTTGGCAAAGTTATAGCGAAAAAAAACTTCAAAATGATGTTAAATTTACAAACTACTCAATTTTTGGCAATTCTAGACCACGTAGGACAAAACAAAGACCACCATTAGACTCCCCGTGACGAGCTGCATCGAATCGATACCCATTTTATGCAAAAATATCAACTTTGAAATTTGAACTAATTTGACCTAATTTGACCTGACCTTCACCAGAACGTAACCTAGGCTGGCCCCCCTTTGACCTGACCTGTGACGTCATCGGTTTGCCCTAGCCCGGCCCATTGGCGGACCTCCTGTGGCGTCGCTGAGTCATCCATGAATTGAGCAACTAATGCAACTCAGCCTGAAAACTATTAACAATCAACCATGAACCTAATTTAATCAATCATACAAAATATTCAATTCTGAACCTAATTTAACCAAATCACACCAAATATTACTATGCAGGGCCAGGGTGACCCTTTCACATCACAAGGACAGCTCAAGGCCAATCACGCTCAATTACGCCCACCACAACCGGGCAACAAAATACACTCAAACGTTCGTTTTATTAGCTGCGACAGAAGCTGTTGGCACCGAGAAAAAGGAGCTGGAGCGACAAAAGCTGTGCTGCCATCCCATCTCAACTCAGTCCGTCATCAGCGGAACGCTCGTTTCCGAATGTCTGACGCTATAGGACATGACCGACCCCGAGACAATCAAAGGAGCCGACTCACTGGTGGATCCCCAGCTCGCCGCCCGGGCACAGCGGGGAGCCGACCCATCCCGGGCGGGTGCACGGACGCGGGACGCCGTCAACGGAGCTGGGTGACGGGGCGCCGTCACGGTCACCCCAACCGGGGGACCGGCCGCGAACCTGGGCGGCACGTTTCAACGGCACGCTGCAAGCTGTTGCCGGCACACGTGGCCATTTGGGTTTCCATGGAAACATCAACAAGCCCATTGCTCCAACACTACCACAAGTGTGACGTCAGCTCGCGAAATGCGCTGGCAGCGGCTGGCAGTGTGCCTTAACCCGCGCCCTGCTGGGGGGGGGGTGTTTGAACACCCCCCTTGTGGTTTTTCGCGAATATCTCAAAAACGGCGGCGCGGAGCGCCGCCGTTTTTGGTACACCTTATCATACATCAATTCTACACATGTTGTGAAAATTTCAGACCAAGGTCATTCATGGTCAGGTCACCAGGTCACTTGAAGTGACCTCACCTCATAAAAACTGTCAATGTCTGTCATAGCTACACCGAGTGACCGATCGCTTTGAAACTTTCAGCGATTGCTAAGAGCAATAGCATGTACAAAGTGTATATCTCAGAATTTTGATATCGATGACCTAAGGTCAGGTCAATTTTGCGACCTCCCCATTATAAGTCAATGGGAGAAAATTGAAATGCGCCTCTTTTGGATGAAAGACATTATAAACACTCCCAAACACCGAATTACAAGTGGTTTAGACACACTGAACTTGAAAATGGTGTCCGTGACACTTGTTTATGCCCTGGGGTCATCTTAGGTCACGAATGGTATCTAACAGTTTTTCGCAAATAACTTTTGATAGAGGCATGCTAGAGCGATGAAAACGCCTTAGATGTGTTCAGCTCGACGATACGGATCGACTGATATGCAACATGACCCTTTCCGGTCAGGTCATGACCTTGACCTGAGGTCAAATTTTCAAGTTGACCTTTAAAGGTCAAGTTATAGTTCATTCGATGCGTCTTGACGAGAGGAACACGATGCCGGTAAAAGTAAGCTCGTACAAGGCTTGGGTCAAAAGTTATTGCAGAAAAACTTTTCGAAAATATCGGCTATTTTTGCAGTTTTTGCCCCCTGCAGGCAAAACCGTTGACGTTAGGTCAAATCTGAGAAATTACTCAGAAAGGGCGTTAATAGGGCTATCGAATGCGCTTTTCCGCGGCGCTGTAGCTCTATTGGTTCCCGAGTTATGCGTTGGCTTCTTGGAAATTTTCGACATTCGACCTGGAAATCGGCGAAATTTTGCCTTCAATGACCTCTGGTGACCTGACCTTTGACCTGACCAAAATATTGACAGAAGTGATTTCGTCATTATTTTTTACGCTCTTTCGAACGCCGCCTTCCGCGTATCGCTACGTGGCCCAGGAGCCGAGTTACAAGGGGGGGGGGGTGTTCAAACACCCCCCCAGCAGGGCGTGGAAATCCAGGACCCCCAGCAGGGCGCGGGTTAACCAGCACCCTGATGGGGTCTGCCGAGCAACGCGGTCTGATGGGGGGGCTTTCCCCCCCTAAGATCTCGAGAACCGCGCAACATAGCGACAAGCGGCAAACGGCGTTGTATAGCCCCAACGGGGAACTACCTTGTGATCCAATTTCATTGACCTCGGTACAACCGATGACGTCACAGGTCAGGTCAAGTGTCGAATTTTCACCGTTTATAGGCATTTCAAGAGATGTGTTGTAAAATCGAGTAAAATACATGCCATTGAAAATCATCGATGGGGAATGGTCCATAAAACACATATTTTGCTATCTGAGGTCACTGAAACCAGGTCAGGTCACAGAGGTCAGGTCGCTGAGTGTCAAATCATAAAAATATCATGTGATCCATGCTTAATGGTTCACTTTACATGACAAATGCGATTATGTCGGTCAGGCAGCCTTTGGGACCAGTTAAGGTTATGTTCTGGTGAAGGTCAGGTCAAGGTCAGGTGAAATAAGGTCATATTCCAAACTTGATATTGTTGCATAAAATGGGTATCGATTCGATGCAGCTCGTCACGGGGAGACTAATGGTGGTCTTTGTTTTGCGCTACGTGATCTAGAATTGCTAAAAAACTGATTGAAAAATTTGACGTCATCAATTTCAAAGTATTTTTTCGCTATTACTTGGCCAGAAAAGGAAGTATCGATCTAAAATTTGGTATGTAGATAGAAGAGCGCAGAGACATTTTGTTTTTTGAAGTTCGATTTTTTGTTTTTTGTTCTGCTTTTTTTCTTTAAAAAAAAAATCGTTTGACTCTAACCACTCGGCTACGGCGACCTGCTAGATGCTAATGCTGTTTGCACTTTGAAGTCACACCTAGCCTCAATGGATGTATTCTTGTCCTGGATGGTAGTGACGTCACACAAGAGATGGCGCTACTTGGTCGGCCGTTTCGTGCAATACAGTTGGCGAATACGCGTCCAGGTTCACGCATTACCTGACCCGGCGACAGACGCATCCCTCCCATGGATTCGTCCCGATCCACGTCTTACCTGGCCCAGTGGCAGATGTATCTCTCCTATGGAGTCGTCCCGGGAGAATCGATCGTAGTCGTATATATGAAGATGGAGAACACGCGACTGCAATTTGTGAACCGGGTACCCTACCGAACAAAAGGCGAACAGCTTTCAATGCGGGGCACAGTCATAGATGGACGCCTACACTGTAAACCAAATTGACAAGTCTTGTGTAATATAACCAATCATCTCTTGGTATGTTTACCAACTGATACTTTTTAAACAAGCCGTTGTCTGGTGCATTACTTGTCAGGTGACAACTACGAGTCAATAGTTACTATGCACACCAACTTCTCAGTATCCAGACCAACTCTACATTTGTTTCAACGTTTGTTTCTTAACCAGTTTTGGAAACTTGTTGCCGCATGGTTATTCAACCGGCGCCTAACTTGTACTGGTCAGCTGGTCAGCATACACATGGTCAGCTGCGCCTGACGTCAGACTTGGCGGACCAATCAGCGGTCGCCGCCCGCCGTTGGCCCCGGCGCGGCGGTTTCGAACCAGCAGTTGACGCGCGGGCCGCCGTGCAGCCTGGAGCAGCGACGAGGGCTGTTCCAGCATTTGTGCAGTAAAAAGTGAAATCTGCGACTGTGGTGTTCGTGCTGTGAGTGAGGCCCCCTCTGGCCTGCGGGACGCACTAATCGTGCCTATACTCGCGTTCGAGACGCCTCCCTTCCCCTGCGCGCGCAATGTAAGTGGGCCAGACCTGTGCATGCACAGGTGAGCAGATGTTTTGCGGTCGGTGTTTTTTTTATATATAAATACATTTATTTGCCTTTAATTCAACTCTTTGTATTTTTAACTTAACTGATGGACATATACGGGCTGTAAAAGCTAATCTGGTTGGCGATCATTATTTATTCGAATTATCTGGGTGATGGTGCAACTGCCATGATTGTTATGGTCAATGTTCAGGAAATATTCGTCATACGGGCATGCTATACTTCTGGCTTGATGCGGTGCACAAAACCATGTTCTTCCACATACGCAGCAGTTCTTGCTTCAAAGACTTATATGCTGACGGTGCATGATAGGTATACCTACTGGGTATACCTACCTCATGCATTTACCACATCCATTCGAAAATATGCACTCGGAATTGTCTCTAGTCAATAGTATTAATTACGTGACCGTAATAAATACTAATGATTCCAGAAACTTCCGAATGGATGTGGTGTATGCATTCATTGATTATATAACCCATCAGTATTTCGTTTCTTGTCAGCGCAAGCCTTTGAGCAATAACTGATGCCAGTCATGGTTTTGTGCACCACTTCCAGCCAAAAAATAACCTGTCCGTATAGAAAATACACTGTAAACCAAATTGACAAGTCTTGTGTAATATAACCGATCATCTCTTGGTATGTTTACCAACTGATACTTTTTAAACAAGCCGTTGTCTGGTGCATTACTTGTCAGGTAACAACTACGAGTCAATAGTTACTATGCACACCAACTTCTCAGTATCCAGACCAACTCTACATTTGTTTCAACGTTTGTTTCTTAACCAGTTTTGGAAACTTGTTGCCGCATGGTTATTCAACCGGCGCCTAACTTGTACTGGTCAGCTGGTCAGCATACACATGGTCAGCTGCGCCTATGACGTCAGACTTGGCGGACCAATCAGCGGTCGCCGCCCGCCGTTGGCCCCGGCGCGGCGGTTTCGAACCAGCAGTTGACGCGCGGGCCGCGGCCGCCGTGCAGCCTGGAGCAGCGACGAGGGCTGTTCCAGCATTTGTGCAGTAAAAAGTGAAATCTGCGACTGTGGTGTTCGTGCTGTGAGTGAGGCCCCCTCTGGCCTGCGGGACGCACTAATCATGCCTATACTCGCGTTCGAGACGCCTCCCTTCCCCTGCGCGCGCAATGTAAGTGGGCCAGACCTGTGCATGCACAGGTGAGCAGATGTTTTGCGGTCGGTGTTTTTTTTATATATAAATACATTTATTTGCCTTTAATTCAACTCTTTGTATTTTTAACTTAACTGATGGACATATACGGGCTGTAAAAGCTAATCTGGTTGGCGATCATTATTTATTCGAATTATCTGGGTGATGGTGCAACTGCCATGATTGTTATGGTCAATGTTCAGGAAATATTCGTCATACGGGCATGTTATACTTCTGGCTTGATGCGGTGCACAAAACCATGTTCTTCCACATACGCAGCAGTTCTTGCTTCAAAGACTTATATGCTGACGGTGCATGATAGGTATACCTACTGGGTAATTTACCACATCCATTCGAAAATATGCACTCGGAATTGTCTCCAGTCAATAGTATTAATTACGTGACCGTAATAAATACTAATGATTCCAGAAACTTCCGAATGGATGTGGTGTATGCATTCATTGATTATATAACCCATCAGTATTTCGTTTCTTGTCAGCGCAAGCCTTTGAGCAATAACTGATGCCAGTCATGGTTTTGTGCACCACTTCCAGCCAAAAAATAACCTGTCCGTATAGAAAATATTTCCTGAATCAGTATCGTGGCAATTGAAAACGAACGCGAATCGTAAGTTCTTAAGGTTATCAACGCAAACAAAGCGATTGTTGACAAGTTCGAACAGAGCGTTAGTACACTTACTTGTTGACAATTTGTAAGCTAGCAATGCCCAGTCAAAGGCTAGTTCATCAACAAACCAAGGGTTGGTGAACCGACAAGGAAACGAATATGCCTATCCAGAAGTTGGTAGGTCCACAAGGCCCAGACTAGTACTCAACAAGGTGACGCCATATGCGAATTGGAACCAAACTTGTAGACAAACTGTTAGTTTGTTGGCCAACAAGTCTGGGGTTGGTGAATCGACAAGGTATCGACAAGGTGACGCCTATGCGAATTGGAACCAAACTTGTAGACAAACTGTTAGTTTGTTGGCCAACAAGCCTGGGGTTGGTGAATCGACAAGGTATCGACAAGGTGACGCCTATGCGAATTGGAACCAAACTTGTAACAAGGAGCCAACTTGTAGATTTGGTTTACAGTGTACACTGTAAACCAAATTGACAAGTCTTGTGTAATATAACCAATCATCTCTTGGTATGTTTACCAACTGATACTTTTTAAACAAGCCGTTGTCTGGTGCATTGCTTGTCAGGTGACAATTACGAGTCAATAGTTACTATGCACACCAACTTCTCAGTATCCAGACCAACTCTACATTTGTTTCAACGTTTGTTTCTTAACCAGTTTTGGAAACTTGTTGCCGCATGGTTATTTAACCGGCGCCTAACTTGTACTGGTCAGCAGGTCAGCATACACATGGTCAGCTGCGCCCATGACGTCAGACTTGGCGGACCAATCAGCGGTCGCCGCCAGCTGTTAGCGGGCCCCGGCGCGGCGGTTTCGAACCAGCAGTTGTCGCGCGGCCGCCGTGCAGCCTGGAGCAGCGACGAGGGCTGTTCCAGCATTTGTGCAGTAAAAAGTGAAATCTGTGAACTGTGGTGTTCGTGCTGTGAGTGAGGCCCCCTCTGGCCTGCGGGACGCACTAATCGTGCCTATACCCGCGGTCGAGACGCCTCCCTTCCCCTGCGCGCGCAATGTAAGTGGACCAGACCTGTGCATGCACACATGAGCAGATGTTTTGCGGTCGGTGTTTTTTACATATAAATACATTTATTTGCCTTTCATTCAACTCTTTGTATTTTTAACTTAACTGATGGACATATATGGGCTGTAAAAGCTAATCTGGTTGACGATCATGATTTATTCGAATTATCTGCGTGATCGTGCAACTGCCATGATTGTTATGCTTAATGTTAAGGAAATATTCGTCATACGGGCATGTTATACTTCTGGCTTGATGCGGTGCACAAAACCATGTTCTTCCACATACGCAGCAGTTCTTGCTTCAAAGACTTATATGCTGACGGTGCACGATAGGTATACCTACTGGGTATACCTACCTCATGCATTTACCACATCCATTCGGAAATATGCACTCGGAATTGTCTCCAGTCAATAGTATTAATTACGTGGCCGTAATAAATACTAATGATTCCAGAAACTTCCGAATGGATGTGGTGTATGCATTCATTGATTATATAACCCATCAGTATTTCGTTTCTTGTCAGCGCAAGCCTTTGAGCATGAGCGATAACTGATGCCAGTCATGGTTTTGTGCACCACTTTCAGCCAAAAAATAACCTGTCCGTATAGAAAATATTTCCTGAATCAGTATCGTGGCAATTGAAAACGAACGCGAATCGTAAGTTCTTAAGGTTATCGAGTATCAACGCAAACAAAGCGATTGTAAGGAAGAGCAAGTTCGAACAGAGCGTTAGTACACTTACTTGTTGACAATTTGTAAGCTAGCAATGCCCAGTCAAAGGCTAGGCTAGTTCATCAACAAACCAGGGATTGGTGAACCGACAAGGAAACGACTATGCCTATCCAGAAGTTGGTAGGTCCACAAGGCCCAGACTAGTACTCAACAAGGTGACGCCTATGCGAATTGGAACCAAACTTGTAGACAAACTGTTAGTTTGTTGGCCAACAAGCCTGGGGTTGGTGAATCGACAAGGTATCGACAAGGTGACGCCTATGCGAATTGGAACCAAACTTGTAGACAAACTGTTAGTTTGGTGGCCAACAAGCCTGGGGTTGGTGAATCGACAAGGTATCGACAAGGTGACGCCTATGCGAATTGGAACCAAACTTGTAACAAGGAGCCAACTTGTAGATTTGGTTTACAGTGTAGGCGTCACCTTGTCGATACCTTGTCGATTCACCAACCCCAGACTTGTTGGCCAGCAAACTAACAGTTTGTCTACAAGTTTGGTTCCAATTCGCATAGGCGTCACCTTGTTGAGTACTAGTCTGGGCCTTGTGGACCTACCAACTTCTGGATAGGCATATTCGTTTCCTTGTCGGTTCACCAACCCTTGGTTTGTTGATGAACTAGCCTTTGACTGGGCATTGCTAGCTTACAAATTGTCAACAAGTAAGTGTACTAACGCTCTGTTCGAACTTGTCAACAATCGCTTTGTTTGCGTTGATAACCTTAAGAACTTACGATTCGCGTTCGTTTTCAATTGCCACGATACTGATTCAGGAAATGTGCATAATCAACATAGTATAGGGGGTTC